AAACCCAGCAGTCAATTTCATATGACACATTGGTAGTATGTTTATATGTGGACCATTCTACAAAATGACTTCAAACTCCAGTCCCACAGACATGAAAATATAAAAAAAAACAAAAAACAAACAAGTATTCAGAACTTATATATACTAGATATTTACAAGGATACTGTTATGATCTAATTAACCCAAGAGCATAAATTAAGATAGTAATAAGCTGAATATACACAAAATCATTTATAGTGTACTTACTCTTGGAAGGTGTCTGTCTCACACTCTAACCCCTAAATTTCAACTTGTGAAAATAATACTTTCATTTTTTCAGTGTGTTTATTTAAAGATCTTTTTGATCTCCTAAAGTGAAGTTAAACGAGTTAGATTTATCAATAGTTTAATGTTTCAATAAAAAAATTGCTGTCCAATTTTCATATTACTACTGAAACACAGAGTTTTAGACCCTAGGCGGAGCCTTATTTTAGCCACACCCCTGCATTTTAGAGCAGGAAGTCAGACTGCATCCCTGCCCCTCATGGCCACATGGTGAGCAGTTAGATCCCACTGTTTTGATGTAAAGTTGTCCCAGTTTTCTGCAGTTAAGTAAACTTTTTTTTTTTGTTGTTTTTTGTGTTTAAATGAAAATACTATGATTTTATGTGTGTACAGCTGTTCAAAGTTGTGTTTGCTAGTCAAGTACTGGCTAGTGTTTTTGAGTTCTGCTCGAAATGAGCTAAAATTGTAACTCAAAGTAAAAGGATTTTAGTCTAAAGTTCAAGTCCGTATCATTAACACAAGCCCACATGCTAACTTATAAATCATTGCATGTGTGCGGAGATGACGGTGTGTGTCAGTTGGGTGTGAGAGATGGAGTTTCTGATATATGAGCCGGCACGTGAGATCAAAATGTAACTCAGGCCGTCAGGCACCAATGTTGAATTACAGTTCAACATTAAACCGGGTCATTCTAGCTCCTGCCTCAGGCCCTCCATCGAGCCAAATGACCACAGAGGTTCAGATATCTGACTGTATTTATAAACAGACACACACACTCGTGCCATTATATGTAGGTCAGTGGGCACCATGGCACATGCAGACCTTCTACAGTGTTTTTCCACATGAGTTTATATAGAGACTGTGTAAATCAGTCCAACAGTGACATACAGTAACAGTCCTGTGGATCCTCTTTGTTTTCCAATTAGATTTGCAGACTAAGCCACATATGATCATATAAATATATATATATATATAGTTGTTGAAAACTCATGAGCCATGATGCATGACTCTGTAGTGCAGTACAGTATACAGTTTGGTATATACTGTACTTGGAAGTAGTTGGAAATATGTTTTATGTAGTATCAAGAAGGAAATGCTGTTTTTTACTGTACTTAAAATAGTAAGCAGTGCTCCCTAAATCTGTTTCCAGAAACTTCAGGAAGACCTGGGCATGGGGAAAACTCGCAAGCAACTTGAAATGCAGGTAAGAGGATTTATTGTGGTGTTGTTGTTGTATCAAAGAAGTGCTTGTAATACAACTTTGGAGCAATGCTTATTATTATTATCATTATTATTATTATTATTATTATTATTATTACTATAGAACTTTTCTGTATAAAAGTGGTTTTATTATCATAAATTGTCTATATAAATATCATAACTGAGTTCATTTTTCACCTAAACAGACAAATAATTATTACCAAGATCGTGTATATATATACATATATCGCTGCTGTTGGAAGAAAACCGTGTATCTCCATTTTTGTCATTTTTTCAGTTTTTGGCATAATTTGAAAATACCTGTTGTCCTTTACATTGTGTGTAAATTTTATTATAAATTATTTTTTATAAAGAAATGGCCCAAACTGACTTGGAAAAAAATCTGGTTCCATATTATTATTATTATTATTATTATTATTATTATTATTATAGAACTTTTCTTTATAAAAGTGGTTTTATTATCATAAATTGTCTATATAAATATCATAACTGAGTTCATTTTTCACCTAAACAGAAACATAATTACCAAGATATAAAAGTCATAACTGAGTTCAGTCAAACACAGAAACAATTATCAATTAAATTATCATAGTTATTACTTTTATTAATAGTTGTTCGTATTATTGGAATTTTATTAATCATCATATAATCATTTTAGCAAATACTAGACTAAAAGGAGAGTAGGTTATTTGCACACCCTGAGGAGCTCAGTGGAGTGAGAGTATTTGTTTGTGATGGTGATGATCAGTGGTGGGAGAGAGACACCTAGTGGAGACCTTCTCTCAAAACAACATCAGACACACTACACCCAAACACACAACCTCAAAACATTCAAAACTGCTTTCTCTCCTTTTAAAATTACTTTTACGTGCCAGTGTATTTTCCGTGATGAATTTGTTAGTTTTATCCTTCAGCTCTTTTCTGTCTTTTCCATCTGTTTACATGTAGCAACTGCACATTTGATCTCAGGTTAAATGTGTCATGCTCTGTAAGGTGAGGTCACATTACTTAATGTACTATTTTGCAGACACAATGTTATTTTGAACCGGCTGACGCCATATATTTATAAAATCCCAGAATTCCCTTCATAAAGCAAATGAGTTTCCCTTCAGAGAAACTGAGAGTGAATGAGTTATCTGTACAGTAATTATTTCAAAGATTTAGCTCCCCCATGAGTAACATTTGTTCCCTTTTGTGAACTATTTTTTATTGGTTTTCAAACATTCTGCTCATACCGGGTCTCAGCTTGGGCACAGCAGGAAAAACTGTACTCAGTTAAAACCACCAATGAGTTTTCTGTCATTTGAAGCAGTAAACACTGACCTCATGCTAGTAAAAGCCACTGCTGCACTCGCTTGATTAGGATAAATAGGTTTTTGATTAGGGACCGTTTATGGCTGAGCGCTGTTATGACGTTCCGTCTCTTTTGTCTAATTCCCGGAGGCTCTTTGGGTGACAAATTCACATCGGGACACCAAACAAACCTCCTGGATGTCCAAACATTCCTCGAAAACAAATGGAATCTTGCAGTATTTTATCAAAAGTCAACATGATTCATCTGACCATGTGTGTTTGGTTTGTCAGAAATGGATTTGCTTGCTGTTGGCAGCCGTGTCAATGGAGTTGATGATAATGAAGTCATTTGTGTACTGCAGAAAGCATATGCAACTGTATTAATCATTATTAATCTTCTTGTGGGGACAGATATTAATGCTAAATCTCTGTTAGGGCCACATTAAGATCTACATGGCCTATTTTTAACCAGACCCCAGCAAAATTTTACTAAAAAATGAATCAATGAATCAACCGCATGTTTTTTTAATCATCATGATGGCGATGTCTACTGCTTGGCCTTCCAGCAAAAAAGGAAAGAAAATACATAGCAAATAGATAATAAATGAGTTTCCATGATACTTAGCATATCTGCACAGGAAATTAGAGTACATTTGTATAGCTTGAGTACATCCGTACATTCCCAGATAGCAAGATGATAGCAGGCCACTGTTGGCCCGCTGACAGCAAAGCTGGCGGCCCACTGGCTTTCTGCTCAGCATTCTCCAGGTAGCCCACTGCTGGTTAAGCAGAGTATTGGACAAAATGCCACATTTCTAATAACACACATAGTAAATATAGATTATTTCTGAAGATGTCAATATATGTATATGTTCAGATGAAGGATGAAGACAAACCCAGATAGCAAGCATATCGGTCCACTGCTACTGCTGGTCCACCCGCAGACCACCTGCATACAAGATCTAACTAGTTTTGAATCCCCTCAAAAGAGATTTTAAATGCAACCAGCTTTTTGGACAACAAACTACAAATATTACAATCAATTGAGAGGAAGCAAATTAATGATTAGGCCTAATATAAAATGATTTTATAGCTGTATGACTGGCTGTATTTATGATATCACTGTCATATAAGTATTTACTAAACTAACTTACAAAGCCTAAGGAATAAAGATATGAAGGACAAATATGTAAATTAGACTGTGAGTTATTAAAATGTGGGTTATTAAAACTAATCATTAATTTGTTTCCTCTCAATTGGTTGTAATATTTGTAGTTTGTTGTCTGGTTGCATTTAAAATCTCTTTTGAGGGGATTAAAAACCAGTTAGCCCTTGTATGCAGGTGGTCCGAGGGTGGACCAGCAGTGGCAGTGGACCCATATGCTTACTATCTGGGTTTGTCGTTATCCTTCATCTGAACATATACGTATATTGACATCTTAAGAAATAATCTATATTTACTATAGTTAATGCATATGTATACTTACTTATTCTTCATTTAGATCTTTATTTATTGATTGATTGATTGATTTACACATACATAAATAGGCCTGCTGTTTTTTTTTATTATTATTATTTTTTTTTTGACGTTATGCTGCTTTTAACTATGGAGCCCCGCTGGTGACATCCTGTATAAATAAAAATAATGCGTGGCCACAACTTAGTAAGGCGTGGGAATGAGATGATTAAGTCGTGGCCACGACTTAGTAAAGCATGGGAACGAGATCCTAATGCGTGGCCACGACTTAGTAAGCCGTGATCCCGTTCCCACGCTTTACTGGCCACGACTTAATCATCTCATTCCCGCGCCTTACTAAGTCGTGGCCACGCATTAGGATCTCGTTCCCACGCTTTAATAAGGCGTGGCCACGAACTATTTTTATTTATACAGGATGTCACCAGCGGGGCTCCGTAGAAACCGAGTGGCATGACATGCATCACTTTCGCTTCTCTGTGGGGGGAAACAGAGACTCTGCTCTGGAGTCAGCGCAATCTGTGTGTGCCGCTTGTAATCGAAAAGGAATGTCTGGATCCAGATCAGCGACAGCGGTTTCTGTGTGGGTCAAACCAAAAGCGGCCCCGCAGGTGGGAAATCACAGAAACCGAACATATCCGTTGTGTTATTGTGAATGGGAGATGAATTTAAGTGGACCAAGCTGTGAAACCATTCCTCATTTTAGGTACAAAAATGGAAACGATAAGAGCTACTGTCCAGAAATGCCTCTGTTAGAGAGCAGGCTAAAATGCTCCCCCTCTGTTTGGAATGGTACAGTCCGCTTCTCTGCTCTCTCTCGCCGGCGCTGCCACATCGCTGGGTCCGTTATCTTCACAGCGGCTCTCGCCAGCGGGAGGAATCGCCGTGTCACCCTCGTTAACTCGCTTAATGATGTAAAATGAAGAAGCTGACTTAAAACGGGAACCTCGGATGCGATTAATGCCGTTTTTGAGACATGACATCTTGTGTTTGTGCTCGAGGAGTTGGATGTAACGTGTCATGTCGGCGCGAGCGCGATGGTCACACTCGGGAAGTGTGAAGGTGTCGCGAGACGACAATAAATATCATCTGTGTGCTGTGATGAACCGCAGCGTGGACCGAGATCGACACTGATCCTCTTTGAGAAAACACCGTGGATCTAAGAAGGACATCGATATTTGTCTTTTGGGTTCAGCTCTATGAGTGCTCATCCATACGTTGACTGATTCTAAGACGTTCCATAACGTAAACTACTCGTCATAGGTGCTTTAAAGATCTAATTGTGATCAGATTTACGGAATCCTTCCTTTGACATTTCAATAAAACTGTTATAATCATATAATAGACCTTCTACACCTGTGACGCCATAAGACTCTGCATTTAACCCCTGCTGAAATGCTGGACTCAAAAACGAAGGACCTGTGCCGTATCTGCGCCCGGGAGCTGTACGGTAACCAGCGGCGATGGATCTTCCACCCGGCGGCCAAGCTGAGCCTGCAGGTTCTGCTGTCTCACGCGCTGGGCAGGGAGCTGACCCGGGACGGGCGCGGAGAGTTCGCTTGCAGCAAGTGCACCTTCATGCTGGACCGCATGTACCGCTTCGACACTGTGATTGCCCGTGTAGAGGCACTCTCCATCGAGCGCATGCAGAAACTCCTTCTGGAGAAAGAACGGCTTCGGCAGTGCATCGGTGGACTCTACCGCAAGAATAACGCTGATGACTTTGGTGCCGGATTGGCCGGTGGCACCGCAGAGGCCTCGGTTGTAGACATATCTGGCTTATCTGATTCTAAGTACAGCTCACTCATAGAAGACGATCTGACGTACTCTGTGTACGAATCCTGGGCTGAGCATGAAGCTCTGGATCACCACCAGCAGGCCGTGCATCACCACCACCAGTGCCATGCCGGGTCAGAATCCAGCTCAGCACAGCGTTCCAGGAAGTGCAGGGGATGTGCCGCGTTGCGGGTGGCCGACTCCGACTATGAAGCCGTCTGCAAGGTGCCCAGGAAGGTGGGCAGAAGCACCTCGTGTGGACCCTCAACTCGATGTTCTGCCAGCATTCTGGGCAGCACAGAGGTAGCTTGCCCTGACCCAGCCCTGATGCCTCTAGAGCCAGATACTCAGTCATCAAGCCTGACCGAGGTCAATGAGAGTGCACAAGTCTGTGAGGCAGAGCACAGCAGTATCAGCCCAGCAACATCTGTGGAGTCACTGGACACTGCAGTTGACGTGAGTCAGCCTTGCACGGCAGTCCATGCGGACCTTGTGCAGGGGGATATAGAAGAAGAGAAGGTCGTGATCCAAAGGCCTGAGAAAGAGCAGAACCTCAGAACTGGCTGTGGAGGTGGACTAGAGCTAGCTCTCAGTCTGGTCAAGAGTTTTGAGTGTCGTCCAGTCCAGGTCCCACGAGGCAGCCGGCTGCCTGTGCCTATCAAGCCTGCCGCCACTCTCCCAGAGGGACCTCTCTCTTTGCTCCAGGTTCCTCAAGCAGGAACAGATTGTTCTTTCTCCCCTCAAACCATTGACGTAGTTTCTTCCAGCATCCAGCAGGAGCTGCAACTGGAGCTGTCTGAAATGGAGGAGCTTTGGCTGGATGATTATGTGCAGTGTAGGCCTCTGGGCATCCAGAAGGTAGAAGAGAAGATTTGGAGACAAATCATCTAAGATTATGCTTTAGCTTGATACTAATCATTGTAGTTCATCATAAGTCTTTCTGGTTGGGCAGGAAGCGGTGAAAAAAAAGAGAAAAGCATAGATTCAGTTCTGAGATTTTACTGTTTGGCTGCGAGCTGTAAATTCATTCACACAATTATGTTTATGTAGCCTTTACATCCGTCTCTTTGTAGTATTCCACATTTGTGACCTCGATCCATTAGTTGCTCCTCATCTCTTAGCAACATTTTCACAGTCATGACAACTGTCGTCATAGGCAACAGTACATCCGGCTACAAGGGAATCCTCAAGAGGAATCTTCCCTTGCTACGCCTTCAAAAACACATGCAGTGTTTAAGGGACTAGTATAGCTTTATATGTAGGATTATAGTGTTGTGTAAGTGAAAAGCAGTCTATCCAAATTGTTCTGTCTCTTGTAATATACCTAATAGTACTCAGCAGGAAAGCCACAGTATTACCCTAATACTTAATACCTGTAATGCTTGATCAGTATTAAATGTGGACCGAGTATGTCCAGATTATGACAGAGGTACAGCAGAGACGAAACAGCAGATTGTCATTAATGCACAGTGTGAGTCTTTTAAGCTCCAGCAGCTGACCTGTGTTCACACTGGCTCTCTGGTTCTTGACCACACCATCCAAAGCCAAGTATAATCTGTTTACCTCTCTGCAGGTAGTGCTAGATTAGATCCCTGATCTGCTGAGTAATGAAGTAGCTCTGTTCTTCTTGTAATCCTGGATTAGTAACCTATGAATTTAAGATGAGGAGCAATAGGCCAGCTTTAGTCAACTGTATGCTCAGGAAATAAGCCCCCCCAAGCAAAAAATCGCTTGCATTATTTCTTTTCTAATGCTTGGTTAAGCGTCCAGTCGCCTCACTGACAGCACCAATGTTAGCCCACCTTGTGCTTTATGTCAGTGCAGAATATATCACACGTCAACCCGTATGAATCTGAAGAAAATCAGAACTGGTAAAATTATTGTCGTTGCTATTGATTTTCATGATAGAAACGTACTGTATACACCGATCGGGCATAACATTATGACCACCTCCTTGTTTCTACGCTCATTGTCCATTTTATCAGCTCCACTTACTATATAGGTGCACTTTGTAGTTCTACAGTTACAGACTGTAGTCCATCTGTTTCTCTGCATACTTTGTTAGCCCCCTTTTACCCTGTTCTTCAGTGGTCAGGACCCCCATGGACCCTCACAGAGCAGGTACTATTTGGGTGGCGGATCATTCTCAGCACTGCAGTAACACTGACGTGGTGGTGGTGTGTTAGTGTGTGTTGCGCTGGTGTGAGTGGATCAGACACAGCAGTGCTGCTGGAGTTTTTAAAAACTGTGTCCACTCACTGTCCACTCTATTAGACACTCCTACCTTGTCAGTCCACCTTGTAGATGTAAAGTCAGAGACGATAGCTCATCTGCTGCTGCACAGTTTGTGTTGGTCATCCTCTAGTCCTTCATCAGTGGTCACAGGACCCTGTTGGCTGGATATTTTTGGTTGGCAGACTATTCTCAGTCCATCAGCGACACTGAGATGTTTAAAAACTCCAGCAGCACTGCTGTGTCTGATCCACTCAGACCAGCGCAACACACACTAACACACCACCACCACGTCAGTGTTACTGCAGTGCTGAGAATGATCCGCCACCCAAATAGTACCTGCTCTGTGAGGGTCCATGGGGGTCCTGACCACTGAAGAACAGGGTAAAAGGGGGCTAACAAAGTATGCAGAGAAACAGATGGACTACAGTCTGTAACTGTAGAACTACAAAGTGCACCTATATAGTAAGTGGAGCTGATAAAATGGACAATGAGCATAGAAACATAGAAAGGAGGTGGTCATAATGTCATGCCTGATCATTGTATGTAACTGGTTTGACCCAGTTTGTGGATGGGTGGGTTAGAATGGACAGGATTGGTGCTGTATTAAAGGCAAGCATACCAAGTTTGAGAAAAGGACAAGTAGTAAGAGTGAGCAAAAAAAAAGATCCAAACTGAAAACGAAAAACAAGGAAATGAGCAGCATGTCGCCCTGGAAAAGGGACTTCCTGAGGAAGTTGTAGAGAACAGCCAGAGTCCAAATCAGTTCACTGTTAGCATGTGTGTGTGTGTCCTCCCACCAGCCATGTTTATTATTTTAACTGTGCATTGGACATTGTGGAGAATATGTGCCTTAGAAAATGAAATGTTATTTATTTATTTATTTATTTATGCAACAATAACTACATAGATACCTGAAGAAAACGTGTATGTGAAAAAATAGGATCTCATCTCAGAAATGTGTTTGTTTTGTTTGTGTGCTTTCCAGAAGCTCATTGGTGAGCAGCAGGCTCAGCTGGTACAGTATGAAAGTGCAGCGGGTCAGTGTGTGAGTGAGCTGCAGAAGGCCCAGCTTCAGGTCCAGTCCCTTCAAACTAAGATCAGAGAGAGCGAAGTCAGCAACAAGGTACCACTTTATCATGTTGTAAAGGCTTTAAAATGTAAAAGCAGTTTAATCTGTTGAGTTATTACTTATAATAACCTAATGGTATTTTTCTGTTGTTATGCTGCCATGGAGTTTTTTGTTTTGCTTGTTGCTATGGCATTACAGTGTCTAAAACAGGAGGTATGATGTCAGTGTGTTATAGAGGGGTTTTTTGTGTGTTTGCAGAAGCTACAGCAGAGACTTATGGAGATGGAATGTGAACTGCGCTCTGTCCGAGAGGCGGCACACGGACAGGAGAGAACGATTCAGACCCTGAGTGACTCTCTTAACACCAAAGACATCGAGGTGTGTTCATCTCAGCCAATAGTACAGTAATCTGTTATCCGTTTAGGGCCTTCACAATAAGCCATTAAACTACTTTACTCTATTAAATAAAATCATCTACTGAAATATTCCTTCTAGATGTTTCGGCAGTTATTATTTGCCACAATGCCTGATGATAATGCGTGATTTATATTCTCTCACTGGTAAGAAGAAATGTGTGATCAACAGTTATTTCTATGCATTTTTGGCAGCACAGCCACAGCTTACACTGATCAGGCATAACATTATGACCACCTCCTTGTTTCTACGCTCATTGTCCATTTTATCAGCTCCACTTACTATATAGGTGCACTTTGTAGTTCTACAGTTACAGACTGTAGTCCATCTGTTTCTCTGCATACTTTGTTAGCCCCCTTTTACCCTGTTCTTCAGTGGTCAGGACCCCCATGGACCCTCACAGAGCAGGTACTATTTGGGTGGCGGATCATTCTCAGCACTGCAGTAACACTGACGTGGTGGTGGTGTGTTAGTGTGTGTTGCGCTGGTCTGAGTGGATCAGACACAGCAGTGCTGCTGGAGTTTTTAAACATCTCAGTGTCGCTGATGGACTGAGAATAGTCTGCCAACCAAAAATATCCAGCCAACAGGGTCCTGTGACCACTGATGAAGGACTAGAGGATGACCAACACAAACTGTGCAGCAGCAGATGAGCTATCGTCTCTGACTTTACATCTACAAGGTGGACTGACAAGGTAGGAGTGTCTAATAGAGTGGACAGTGAGTGGACACAGTGTTTAAAAACTCCAGCAGCACTGCTGTGTCTGATCCACTTGAACCAGCGCAACACACAACACACCACCACCACGTCAGTGTAACTGCAGTGCTGAGAATGACCCACCACCCAAACAGTACCTGCTCTGTCCATGGGGGTCCTGACCACTGAAGAACAAGGTAAAAGGGGGCTAACAAAGTATGCAGAGAAACAGATGGACTACAGTCTGTAACTGTAGAACTACAAAGTGCACCTATATAGTAAGTGGAGCTGATAAAATGGACAATGAGCATAGAAACATAGAAAGGAGGTGGTCATAATGTCATGCCTGATCATTGTATGTAACTGGTTTGACCCAGTTTGTGGATGGGTGGGTTAGAATGGACAGGATTGGTGCTGTATTAAAGGCAAGCATACCAAGTTTGAGAAAAGGACAAGTAGTAAGAGTGAGCAAAAAAAAAGATCCAAACTGAAAACGAAAAACAAGGAAATGAGCAGCATGTCGCCCTGGAAAAGGGACTTCCTGAGGAAGTTGTAGAGAACAGCCAGAGTCCAAATCAGTTCACTGTTAGCATGTGTGTGTGTGTCCTCCCACCAGCCATGTTTATTATTTTAACTGTGCATTGGACATTGTGGAGAATATGTGCCTTAGAAAATGAAATGTTATTTATTTATTTATTTATTTATGCAACAATAACTACATAGATACCTGAAGAAAACGTGTATGTGAAAAAATAGGATCTCATCTCAGAAATGTGTTTGTTTTGTTTGTGTGCTTTCCAGAAGCTCATTGGTGAGCAGCAGGCTCAGCTGGTACAGTATGAAAGTGCAGCGGGTCAGTGTGTGAGTGAGCTGCAGAAGGCCCAGCTTCAGGTCCAGTCCCTTCAAACTAAGATCAGAGAGAGCGAAGTCAGCAACAAGGTACCACTTTATCATGTTGTAAAGGCTTTAAAATGTAAAAGCAGTTTAATCTGTTGAGTTATTACTTATAATAACCTAATGGTATTTTTCTGTTGTTATGCTGCCATGGAGTTTTTTGTTTTGCTTGTTGCTATGGCATTACAGTGTCTAAAACAGGAGGTATGATGTCAGTGTGTTATAGAGGGGTTTTTTGTGTGTTTGCAGAAGCTACAGCAGAGACTTATGGAGATGGAATGTGAACTGCGCTCTGTCCGAGAGGCGGCACACGGACAGGAGAGAACGATTCAGACCCTGAGTGACTCTCTTAACACCAAAGACATCGAGGTGTGTTCATCTCAGCCAATAGTACAGTAATCTGTTATCCGTTTAGGGCCTTCACAATAAGCCATTAAACTACTTTACTCTATTAAATAAAATCATCTACTGAAATATTCCTTCTAGATGTTTCGGCAGTTATTATTTGCCACAATGCCTGATGATAATGCGTGATTTATATTCTCTCACTGGTAAGAAGAAATGTGTGATCAACAGTTATTTCTATGCATTTTTGGCAGCACAGCCACAGCTTACACTGATCAGGCATAACATTATGACCACCTCCTTGTTTCTACGCTCATTGTCCATTTGATCAGCTCCACTTACTATATAGGTGCACTTTGTAGTTCTACAGTTACAGACTGTAGTCCATCTGTTTCTCTGCATACTTTGTCAGTCCCCTTTTACCCTGTTCTTCAGTGGTCAGGACCCCCATGGACCCTCACAGAGCAGGTACTATTTGGGTGGTGGATCATTCTCAGCACTGCAGTAACACTGCCGTGGTGGTGGTGTGTTAGTGTGTGTTGCGCTGGTCTGAGTGGATCAGACACAGCAGTGCTGCTGGAGTTTTTAAACACCTCAGTGTCACTGCTGGACTGAGAATAGTCCACCTACCAAAAATATCCAGCCAACGGTGTCCTGTGGGCAGCGTCCTGTGACCACTGATGAAGGACTAGAGCATGACAAACACAAACTGTGCCGCAGCAGATGAGCTATTGTCTCTGACTTTACATCTACAAGGTGGACTGACAAGGTAGGAGTGTCTAATAGAGTGGACAGTGAGTGGACACAGTGTTTAAAAACTCCAGCAGCACTGCTGTGTCTGATCCACTTGAACCAGCGCAACACACAACACACCACCACCACGTCAGTGTAACTGCAGTGCTGAGAATGACCCACCACCCAAACAGTACCTGCTCTGTCCATGGGGGTCCTGACCACTGAAGAACAAGGTAAAAGGGGGCTAACAAAGTATGCAGAGAAACAGATGGACTACAGTCTGTAACTGTAGAACTACAAAGTGCACCTATACAGTAAGTGGAACTGATAAAATGGACAATGAGTGTAGAAACAAGGGGTGGTCATAATGTCATGCCTGATCGGTGTATATATGTATAGAGGTGTATGTATATATATATAAATAGGGCTTGACATACAGCGATAAATTATGTCGCAGTACAATACAATATGCTTAACACATTGTGGATATCGCCAGCACTTGTAGAACGCTGACCTGCATGTTGCATTATAAGGAGAGCAAAATTAGTCCTGTTTAACTAGATTTAGTGCTACACAGTATTGGGCATTTCGGTGTAATTTAGTTAAACTGCCCTGGAACTTGCCATCATGTTACCAAAAATAATGATCTAATACTTTGGAGTTTGTACCACACAACTGGTTGATACCTAGAATTTAAGCAACTGTAGAAGAAAATGTTGTCTTCTTAATTGTTTCCAGGTTTATCCTTTTCTAGTGATGTATTTTGGCCTCTTTGGAAGGCTGTGCATTGCAGTGATGTCAAGTGTTATAGTTACTCAGTCTATCATCGAAATATTCATGAGGTTGAGGTAAAACAACTGAACACTGTCTGAGCCTGTCGCACATTTTTATGTGTTGGCAGACAGGAAATAAATAAAAGAGATGCAAAATCAGCCCATTGGATAAGGTTTATGCTTCATGTCCAGTTTTCTTGAATTTGATTTCAGGTATTTAATGAGAAAATTGTTGATTCTCTTTGACCAGGTGGCTGATCTCCAGCAGCTCATTGAGGAGCAGAAGGAGCTTTTATGCTCTATGCAGCGGCAGAACCAGCAACACCAACTGCAGCAGCTACATGTGAGATCCTTTTTTTCTCCTTATCTCCTTCTTTAGGTTTGCACTGGAGCTCAGAGACTAATGGAAGCTTATACTCCACCAGTTAGCGCATGTAAATCATGCCTAAATCCTAACACGCTTGCATCGAGTTATCTTAAATACAGTTTCAAACTTCGGGCACTAAACATGTCTTGGCTGACTACGTTTGTACTAAGGCAGAGGTCTTTATTTATATTCAGTAAGGTCCAGTTAAAGAAAATTTTCTCAAGCAAAGGTCCGGAACATCATAATGACTAACTTGCATTATGATTCAGGGCCATATACTGTTTACTGAAGTAGCCTAGTAGGTATATCAGTCTTATGCAGTCAACAACTGAATGTCAAATCAAATAAAGTACAATTCAGTCATATTTCAACAATATTTATTGTCAGTTTTCTCTTTTTAGAGAACGCCATGTGAAATAACTTCCCCCTGACTCACTTTCTTCTCCAACTGCTGTGTCTTGCCTCGTCCCTCCCCTGTGTGTGCATCACTCACTCGAATCTCAGTGCTCATTGTAATGCACAGATCTGATTGGCTGAGTAGCGTCACTGTGATGTTTACAACGCATGCAATTGGTCTGTGAATTTCCCGGGCCGCTAAACCGCTACCATAGTGACTAGAAATGATAGGCCAATTAAAATAGGACAGCTCCGTCAAAATTAAATAATTCTCCATAGTTTATTGGTTATAGGTCCAGGTCCGCATAGGACAGTGTCTGGGTCCGGACTCGGACCACGGTCCGCCTATTAGTGACCTCTGTACTAAGGGAACAATTGTGAAAATTTTCACCAAGCTGTTGTTTTAAAGATGTATTAACGGCCGTGAACCTGAACTATATTTTCAGCATTTGTTCTTTTCTCCAAACGCATCTTGACCATGTGTTTTTTGTGACTCACTGCGTGTGCAGATGCCTGGGGCAGCTCCAGGCCAGCTGCAGGCTGAGCTTCTAGAACTCCAGGCTTCTCAGTTCTCATCTCAGCTTGAGCTGCAGCACATCCAGAGAAGCCAGCGCCAGGCCCAGAGGAGAGAGGATGACCTGACTCACACAAACCAGCGTCTCCTCACAGACCTCCAGGGCGCACTACATCACCGCCAGGAGACTGAGAAACACAACCAGGTTGTGTATTGAAAAAAAAAATATATATATATAAGTTTTCCTTCATGTCTTTAAATGTGTGTTGGTGAGTAACTGTGTTGCTGTCTTTGTAGGAACTGCTTGCTGCTCTTCAAAAAGCACGCTTTGACCTGCAGCAGATGGAGGAGAAGTGGAAAGAGGGAGTGAGGCAAAAGGAGAGGGAGGTGGAAGAAAGAGAGAGGAGTATAAGAGAATTGAAGACCTCTCTGCAGCACAAAGAACATCTGCTACAGGTGAGAGACAAACACATAACACGCGTACATGTAATTAAATCAAGTAATTATTGTTGTGAATTTCACATGAGCATAAAATGTGTGAACCACAGGACTACAGCGAGTTGCTGGATGGGCAGAAAGAAACTGGTGGAAACAGAGACATCCTCATTCATAAACTGAAGCAGCGTATTCAGGAGAGAGACCGAGCACTTGAGGTATACATTGATGCACACATACATGTGCAAAAACAAACATACAGTAGAAAACACATGCGAAAAACATCCAGTATGCAAACACGTATGAACACATTGACATTGCAGCACACACAAGCAATTCTACATGTATATACATATATATATATATATGCAGCATTCTACTGATTAGTTCAAACTGTAGTGAAAAACTATTTAAAAAAACAATTAATTGTTCAGATCTTAGGTATTTACAAGAATTATGTTTTGATTTATTTAAACCCAAGACCTTAACTGATATAGCAATAAGCTAAATATATACAAAATCATCATTTATGTTGTACTTTCTATTAGGAGGAGACTGTACCCTAACCCCTAAATCAAATCAAATCATCTTTATTGTCACATCACAATAACACAGAATATCTTAGGTGTGTAGCCCTCCTTGTAGTGCTTAAATACAAAAATATATAAAGAATATATTAAAAAATATATTACACTACACTATGAATATACACACTGATGTATACACTAAATTTAATGTTGTTTTTAAAAAGATCTTTTTGATTTCTTTAAAAGTGAAGTTAAAAGATTTAGATTTATTATGTGTTTAAAAACACTTTCCTGTTTTTTCATGTCAAAATGCAAAGCGTTTTAGTCCATAAGCAGAGCCTTATTTTGGCCACATCCCTGCATTTTAGAGCAGGAATTACACTGCAAATAGTTGTCGTTATCTAAAATAGTGTACTAAAATAATCATCACTCCAAAATTGAGCTTAAATCAGGCATTAATAAATTTATTCATCTGGCAGTGCTTTCAAAAAACAATTCAAGTGGTTTTTAGTCATACTACGCTATGCTGTGCTGGTATAGCAAGATATTAGGCTGCTTTATCCTAAAAAAAAAACATTTTTGGTCAGACAAATTAAACTTACTCTTAGGTGCACTAAACTGTACTCTCCTGAATTGATTCGCTATTTTATTTCTTGCACATCCATTCTCTTACAAGTGGTAAATTCTGTCAGTATGAATGGGTGACTCCAGCATGCCGGATGAAAAGTTTTTATGGCAGTGTTTCTCAAACCAATCCTCAGGGACCCCCATATGGTCCAGATTTTTGCTTCAACCTAATTTAAATAGGTATAAAACAATAATAAGGGCCGGTTTAAGAAGGTTTTAAGGTATTTAAAGCAGGGAGGACGAATAAAGTAAGAAGAAATAAGCAGGGGAAAATCTAAAACTGAAAAGTAGGCAGACTGTGAGACTCTGAAATTTGCAAGTTCAAAAATTTTAAATTTGAACCTGACCCAAGCCTGACAGATATTTGGAGAATAACATCCTGTCAGGTTCGCACAAATATTTCAGACTCTAACAATGGCTACCAAATTTATCAAAATGTATTTTTTTAAATACATTTTTCTAGTAAATCAGAATACGAAAGTGATGAAAAAATGAATGCATATTTTAACTGTTGTGTTATTTCCCCAAGCGTGCTGTAGACGAGAGGTTTGTGTGTGTGGAGCAGAAAGAGGATGAAATACGCAAACTGCAGCTGCTCCTCCGAGAGAAAGAGAGAGACATGGAGAAACTGCGCTGCGTGCTGTCCAGCAACGAGGAGACCATTACGGTATTAGTTACACGCACATACTAGCGCACACAGACAGATGATAGCAGAGTGTACGTGTTATTTGAACACTGTATGCCTGTGTGTGTGTTAGAGTCTGGAGGCGCTGCTGCGCGGTAAGGCTCTAGAGCTGGAGCAGGTGAGTGAGGCCTGGAGATGCAGCCAGCGGGATCAGCGTGAGAGCGAAGAGACAGACACCCGCAGTCTGAGAGAGAGAGACACACTGATCACCCAGCTCCAGACTGCCCTCCACACACGCACCAAAGAGACTGAGGTACACAAAGGCAGATTTCATTTTGGGAGATCTTGACACAGGAGAACACGCTAAAGATACATAATGTAACCTTTCAAGCAGAGTTACTTCAAATATATATAAATATCTTTTGCACATAGTAGCTTTCAGTACAGTGCAGAGGCACAACATTCAAAATATGTTCTTAGTAATGATGACTGCCATTTGAAATCACTTAGAGACTTGAGTTTCTACATCAGGTCGTCACAGATACCAGTTTTCCATTTCAAAAGCATTTGAGCCACATTTCCAACATTACCAGACTATAGCAACATATCCTTGCTAGTATGACACTTTTACCACATGTGAACCACAAAAGATGGAAAATTTACTGTTCACAATATATGTATAGAAGTTGCTCCTGTACTAAAATGTTTAACACCACAAACCTTATTAAGATCACACTCAGGTTTCGTACTTCAGGTTTGGTATATGAAGCTGATAAACTTGGTTCTCTAGCTTTAGATACCCAACCTGAAGTATGAAACCTGAGTGTGATCTTAGACTCTGAGCTCTGTTTTGTTCCGCCTGTAAAAGCAGTCACTAAAGTAGCTTTCTATCATTTGAGAAATATTGTTCAGCCTTTTCTATCTAAGAGTGATGCAGAGAAACATGTTCATGCATTTGTTACAAGCAGAGTTGATCACTGTAATGATCTTCTTACTGGACTTCCTAAGAAAACAAAACATCCTTTACAGCTCGTACAAAATGCGTCAGCATCCTAACAAAAACAACACAGAGAGAAAGAGCTGCACTGACTGTCTGTATTGTTCAGGATAGATTTAAAGTTCTGCTACTAGTTTTTAAAGCTCTAAATGACCTTAAAGCACCGCTTACATCACAGTGTGTCTGTCTGTTTATGTTCCAGCACTTAACCTAAGATCTGTAGATACTGACCTTCTACAAATACTTTCTGTAAAACCTTTTTACAGAATTTTTATTTTTCATTTATCTTTTATTAGACAGTCAAGCTCAGTACACACTTTTAAGAAGCATCTAAAAACACATCTCTTTATCTTAGCATTTCATTAAAACTCTGTCTTGTGGTTTTTATCTTTTAATTTGATCTGTGTCATCTTCTTATGATTCTAAATGAATACTTAGAATTTCTTGTATAACTATGTTTTATCACCTGTCTGTAAAGCACTTTGAGCTGCCACCAGCATGAAAAGTGCTACATAAGTAAAAAAATATATTATTATTATTATTATTAGTAATAGTAATAGTAGTAGTAGTATTAGACATCTGCTATTTTGGCCCATGCCTTCAAAATGATTGAAATGTAAGAAGAGATTGTCTGACTGTAGCAGGGGTGAGATCTCTTTAAACTTGTGCTGGAGTTCTGGCAGCTTTTGCTTGATCTAGAAGGCCAGACTCCCTTTTTTATACACAGAGACAGGACTGAGAAAGGACTGAGGAACATGGAGGAGATGGGGTGGTGATGGGGTATGAAAACTTAGTCATGGAAAATGGAATGTAGACATGAAATTTATAGGACGTTAGAGTGGAGGGAAGAGGAACTTCAGGCATGGTTCTCCTCCCAAACTGTTATTTCACTTATTTCAAAACTCCATTTTGAGAACTCAGCATCAAAAATGATGTGGAGAGAATGAAATATTAGCAAGTGCAGTGGATGCAGCTGCTAGCAAGCTGGCATCAACAGCAACCTTCAGTAGACCATCAATAAAACCAAAGCACAGAAATTATGGAATTCTTTATTTGCTGCTAAGTAACAATAGACATGTGTCGGCTAGATTAGATGGATATGGTACAAATCTAATGAACATTATAGGTATTGGATCTAAAAGACCTGATTAAAGCATCCCTAGTTCCCAACTGAGTAATTTTACTCTCTCTCCTCTCCTTTTTTCAGGAGCTGACAGCAGCTCTGCTCAGTAAGGTGTCTCTGGGCTCCACTGAAATCATGGAGGAGCTCAGGAGTCGGCTGCAGTTGAAGGAGCGACTCTTTCAAGAGCTGCTAGCGGACCGCAGCCGGCAGGCCCAGGAGCACCATGCACACGTCCAGGAGTTGCTCGGCGTAATCGACACTAGGGACCAGTACATCAAGGTAACAACACACCACCACTGACCACAGTTATTGTGTAGGTGATTGGAATTCAGATGACTTCTTATACAAAAAGCAATCGTTTGGCCAGAAACCAAATTTACAAAGTATTCGCTTTACCCTAAAATGTAGTCAATCCGCTGCAAAAACGTGATATCTTGGAGGGTAAAATCATCTCTTGTCTAGTCAATATATGTAATATGTAATATTTTGAGAGTTGTAAGAATATTTTAGGATCATTTTAAATACTTTCAGACATTTTTTTCCCTTTTAAATTGTTCAGATCTAGTTATCTCACTTCTTCTTTGCATATTTGCTTGAATTATTTTGCTTTGCAGAAAAAATCTTGTAACATTCTTACACCAATCTCAGGACAAGAAGTGTTATATATTGACACATTGACAAGATTTAAAAAAGAATTCATGGTAACACTTTACTGTAGGGTATGGTTCATAAGGCTACATGACACCTACATAAGCTTGTCATGACAACTGACATAATGCTGACCCTACATAAATGTTTATAAATGCTCATTGTAATAGGCGTCATTTGCTATAAAGGTTACATTTGCCAATTTTGATCAAAGTTAGCTAAAGTAGCTTTTACGTCAGATGACGCCTATTGGAATAAGCATTAATAGACATTTATGTAGGTCCATGTCAGTTGTCATGTCAAGCTTATGTGGGTGTCCGTAGCCTTATGAACTGTACTCTACGGTAAAGTGTTGCCGATTTCATTTGCCGAGATATTGTTTTATGGCACTGTCAGTCGAGAAATGTTTGGTGTCTGAAGTTTACTTCTTTAGTTTTGCACTGAAGCTCTGAGACTAATGTAGCTAACAAGTAGTAAAAGCACATAGCCAATATTTTTAATCATGCAAAGTGCATAAATGAGTCATCACACTTTTGCCTCAAACGTCATTGAGTTATTAAGCAATCTCAAATAAACCTGCTTATGGGGTTTCTGATACTGTGTAACATACTGTTAAAAAAGTAATTGCTATGTAACACACCTTTGTGTAATACCTGCCCTAAAGGGGAAAAAAGAGAGCTAGAGGTACGTTTAGATGACCCTCTTACATGTTAAACTCCATCTCCCAGGATTCCTCAGAGCGTATGGGTCAGGTGATGTCTGAGCAGGTGGCCCGGCTGCAGGAGCTGCGCAGACAAGTGGTGTCAGCAGGAAATGCATCGCAGAGCACATCAGACCACTCTGCGGACACTCAGAGCCTTCAGGAAGAGCTCCGGCTGGTTCTTGCCAAAGAGAAGGAGGCCCAGAGTGAGATGTCTGCTCTACGCTCCTCCTTGGCCATCAACCAGAACCAAATCCAGACCCAAGCTTCTGAATTGGAGGCTTTGAACCGAACCATGTGCATCAAAGACGAGATCATCAAGGTCTGTTCTGTTTTGTGTGTGTTGTTTGTGTGTCACTGCAAGGTCTTTGTGTATTTACTGTTGTGTGCTAATCAGGATCTGCAGATGCAGCTGGTGGAGTCCTCTGATCTCCCACTGGTGGAGAAACTGACTCAGGAGCTGCAGGAGCTCAGAGAGAGAGATTTACTTCAGGAGCCCTCCTGTCCCAACCATAAGGTCTGCACATGCACTAAGTTTACTGGCTAGTTTTCTATCCATGTCCAAATCTGAAAGTTGAGATTAAAGAGATTGTTTGGTTAAACAACAACTTTACATATTTATTCCTTAGTCCATGTAGTTCACTTAATAAATTCCATAGTCCATGTAGCTCAGTTAATAAATTGTTGGGCTCTGGAGTTTGCTTCTTGAGGTTTGCGCTGGGGCTGTGAGGCTGATGTAGCTAACATATAATGGGACCTTACACTCCACAGTTAACACTATGTAAACTGCATACCTAAATCTTTACACGCTTGCCTCAAACAGCATCAAGTAGTTATGTAATATCAAAAAAGACTTGCCTAAATTGTTTCTGACACTGTATGGCACTGTGATCTATAAAAAAGCTTGAAGTATAGACAGAATTCAAGCTGCTACTACTGTTTTTAGGAATGTGACATACTTGCATTTTTACAGATAACAACATGTCCTACAGCAGAGGTCACTAATAGGCAGACTGCGGTCCGAGTCCGGATCCAGACGCTGTCCTATGCGGATCTGGACCTAACCGATAAACTATGGAGAACTATTTAATTTCGACGGTGTGGTCCTATTTTAATTGGCGTAACTTTTCTACCCTTTACGGTACCGGTTTAGCCGGGAAACTCACAGACCAATCGCATGCGTTGTAAATATCACCCGTGTCGCTACTCAGCCAGTCAGATCTGAGCATTACGATGAGCACTGAGACCCGAGTGAGTAACAGAGAATGGTTTGTAATCCAAGGCAATTAATTGCATAATTTTTTTTTGTTTCTCTGCACCGTCGTTTATGATTTTGCTTTTCATTTCAAAAGCCACAGATAGCTTCGTTGGGCTATAGCAAGGACTTACTGCTTCGGTTTTGGTGTGTTCTGCGTATTCTGCATGATACTGGAGAGGTTGTTGGTTATTGTACCTCCTCTGGATAACATAAACAGTTATTATAATTCTTTTGTCTAATGTCTCTCATAGAAATAGTGAAATATTTGTATGTCTAACTTGTCTGTCTGCTGTTTATTTGCTGCTGCTCAAACTTAACATGTCTCCACTGACCAGCGAAGAAAATAAACAGCAGTTTTTATCGCTATTTCACATTTTCATTGTCATTCAAATGATTTGTAAGGTGTTATATGTTAACACCAGGTTGTAGTCCTGTTTAATCCTTAATTGTTTTCTTTTTTTCCTCAGTTGAAATTTTTGGGCAAAAACTGAAAGTGCCATTTTTGATCGCTTTTAGCCAAAATGTTTCACGGATGAAAATTTTGGTGCATCCCTGTTTAAGATTACTTAGTACATATTAGTTATTTAAGACACGTTTATAGTGATTTATGTATGTGGTTTGCTTGGTACCAAATTGATGGCTATAAATCTTCCATTACTTTACCATTGTTAGCTACATTAGGTTCATAGTTCCAGTGCAGAACCCAGACACAAACTCCAGACACCAAACATGTCTTGGCTGATCGACTACATGTAATAATTAGCCAAAATAGATGTTTCCATGCTGCTTTTTTTACTACAGAAACTGCATATGTATGTTTGTTCCTCTCACTTTAACAGGGTAGCACGGAGCGTCTGGCATCAATGGAGACTGAGCCGACAGCCACATCTCAGGCTGATACTGGAGGTGGGCGTGGGGACAGCCTCCAGACTGGGCTGTAATTTAGCCTCCTGTGCAGCAGGGGGTGATTGTGTGTTATACTGACAAGCTTGTAGATACCATTAATGTCATCTGCCAAGACAAAATGTTATGCATGTTCTGAGGTCGACAAAATTGCATCCATTTGAATGAACAGTTGTGCTTTGGACAATTTTATTGTGATATTTGGTAAGTTAAGGTTAACAGACATGCTTAAATTTGCATGTAGATGATGTGATCTTAACTTCATTGGATATTCACTGCCTTTGATGTTGCCTGTTTGTTTGTTTTTTTTTGGTCATTAACTTAATTATAGGTTATTGATTATTAACAAATAACCTGTATTACTACTTTATGTTATACTTTCAAGTATAGTTCAGCCATTCAAATTTAGTCTTAATATTTATTGAATTAACTAAAATATTCTGTCATTGTATGACTACATTTAAACCTACTGAGCCTTTTGGTTTTGTTTTTTGCACTAAAGGAAATAGAAAATTAGAATTTGTTTCTCGTTTTAGATCAAATGTTATCAGCGCTTCTCCTGGAAATCTACTTTTTTTTTGGCAGAGTTTAGTTCCAACCTGCATCTAACATACTGCTCTGCCCTTACCTAACACATCTGTTCCAGTAAATAAAGGACTTCTGAAGATGTTTATTAGCTGGAGCAGATGTGGCAGATTGTGGTTGGAGCTAGGATGGAAGAACAACAGGACCAGGGTTGATGATCACTGCTTTAAGGCCCAGTCACACTAGCTTTTTTGCCAGAGCGAAGGTACATTAACATCAATGGATGTCTGTTCAAAGACTTCTGGAGTAAGTAAATTTTATGTGCAAAATTTTGCTCAGCTTTGGTGAACTTTGACACATGACTTTGTGTCCTCGACCAGTAGCGCTACTGATTTGGCTATAGCTTCATTGCAAAGCCTAGGCTGCAGCCGAGGTAGGCTGCATTTCTCAGCCACTACGTCATAGAAGGCTGTTCCAAAGTGAAGGATCCTCCGTATATAGCCTAGAAATGCAGCCTACGTTTTGGGTGATATGAAGGACGCATCAGATGTATCCTTCCTGGCCTTTGGTTACCCACGGTTGCGCACGAACGACGTGAGGAGGAAAAACAGCGGAAAACAAAGCCGTTGGAGCAGAGCTTCTTTTAAATTGTAAATTGTTCACGTGCTTGAACTCATCTTCGTTACTTTAATTAATCAGTGTAAAATCACTGATTAATTAAAGAATTCATCCATAGATCATATTTTATTTAGAAGTATTTGTAAATATGTAGTTTATCGTACTACATAAGAACATCTCCTTCATTTCCGTGAAGAAATGAAAAAGCAACAAACACAATGCAGCTGGGACTGGCGACGTCACCACGCAGCCTCGTTAGGACTGTTCCATTTGTGTGACCAACAGGCTACTAAAGAGGGAGAGAGTCTTCATAGGACAGTCCTACCGAGGACCCGCACTGCCTCTGCTGCAGCCTAGGCTGTGGAGCGCAGCTTATGTTGACCTCTGAAGGGGCAGGACTTCATATAGCAGGTCATACAAAATGGGGAAATGCTAATTTTATCAGTGTCTAAGCACAAAAAATTTAACATTTCCTTCCCTCTGGCTAAATTAAAGCATAAAAGAGAGGCTACATAATATACGCTCCATAGGGAGATTGTGTTAGATCTTATAACTATCCATACTTAGGTGGGTTTACTGTTAAGGGTTGGTTAGTTAACTGCTGTCTGCACCAAAATAGAGAATTTATTTCATCTTCCGGTCCAGCTCTGGTCACACCTATTTCTCAATGCAACACAAACTGCAAATTTCTAGTGTGACTGTGGCTTTAGACTGTAGCCTTGTGTAGGTATTTTTCACTGCTTTTCTGTTCAGTGTTGCTAACAACAGCTACATATGTAATTGCACATTGAATTCCTGCTGCGGTACAAGCATTTAAAGGTACACTCAGTACAACTGTCCCAAGTAGCTTCTGAATATGTTCAATGTTTGTTGGAGTTTTACACATTGATAAGAAGTTGGTTATCACTGAGCTGGGAAAATGCTCTGCTGTAACAGTGGCGTGAACTCTGTTCCAACTGCTCAGCCGTTGAAGTAGCCGCTAATGCTTATTATTTAGAAGCACATATTAGTGTGCACTTAGTGTACCTTTAAAAATAGTTTCTGAAGTTGTGCAAGAGTCACTTTCAGCCTTAATCTGGTGAATGTTAACCAAACTGTGCTCATGCATGTGAAATAACAAAAACTGTTGTTGCATGCATGTACTGTACTGTAGTTTATTACTGTCCACTTGATGCAATAGCTTTGCTTATCAGAAGATGTTGTGGAGGACTTCTATAGAAAGCAATAGTGTTTATGTAATAGATATAACCTTTTCAATATAACTGTGTTTGATGTTTCTAGTCCTGCTTCATACAATAATAGTTTTGTACTCATTTTTGGAAAACCAATGAAAAGCATCTCAATGGGAAAAACAAAGATCTGTTCACTTGGGAGGTTCTTTTTTCCTCAAAGATCAACACCACCATTCTCAGATGTTTGCACACAAGCACATAGCCCCAGCTCTACGATACCCTGAGTCAGCCTTTAATGCTAGTTTGATAAACCAGTCAGACCTCCTCATTTCAGATTATTTCTATGTGTGTTTAAAGCTGACACTGCCATTTATACAGTTGTATGCAAACGTTCCTTTGGTCAAATCATAGATTTTGTTGATTTTCTAAATGAAAATAAGTCGACTCGTCCTCTACAGAGAACAAACTGAAACAGCATTTTTCCTGCAAATTTTGTTGCACAATTTCTATTTGCTGAATTTTTAATTTACGAAATTTACGAAAAATGAAACAAAGTATAAAAAGTGCCATAACGTTTGTACAGGCAAAATTTTATGTTTTAGTTTTTCCTAATATGTTAAATTAATCAAACAAATAGTAATTTTGTAGTAAAATGTACAAAAGTGTGTTCTCTATAGAAGACTTCATATAGCAGGTCATCCAAAATGGGGAAATGCTAATTTTATCATTGTCTAAAAACAAAACATTGAACATTTCTTTCCCATCTAGCTAAATTAAAGCATAAAAGAGAGGCTACATAATATGCGCTCCATAGAGAGATTGTGTTAGATCTTACAACTATCCAGTATAAAGTATAAAAAGTGCCATAACGTTTGCACAGGCAAAATTTTATGTTTCATCCTTCTATAGAGGATGTACTAACTTATTTTCAAATCTACAAGTCATGTCATGTGACCAGAGGAACACAACCTTTAGCATACGGTTGTACCTTCCTTTAAAAAATTACAGTTTCAGAACTAAAAAAGTTAATAAATGTGTATATTTAACAAATACATATGATTTTATCGTGATGAGACTAAACATGTATTTTTTCTCCTCTTTTGAAAAATTCCTTCCTGGCTTTCTCTCTTTCTCTTTCCCCCTCTCTATACCCCTCTTATCTATCACTCTTTTCGCTCCCACAGTCATAAGCACAATCCCTGTCTAAGTTTAATCAACAAAATACACTACACAGCGAACACTAGCTGGGTGTCCATCCACATACTTTTATGCATAGTTTGACATATCCAATAAAAATGACTTCAAACAGCAGGTATCGAATAAAATCTCCGTAATACATAACATAAATGTGAATAAAGTAACGTAAATGTGAATAAGGAACAGAATAAAGTCACATGACTGATCATGTGATTTGTTATGCCCGGCTGTAGCTACAAAACATGGCAAGGAAATTAAAATAAATAAATTAAAAATATAATAATAATAACTGTTATAGAGCACTTTTCATATCGGTAGCAGCTCAACCTGCTCTACAGGCAGATGATAAAGTTTAACAGTAATCTAAGAAACTCCTTTCTTGTCAAATTTTAGATTGTGAACAGATAGAAGGTGCCTGCAGCTGACCATCAGCCATTTTATTGTGTTTTTGTGCTTTTACGATGTGAATTACAACCACAAAATTAAACATAAGAGCAAAGAGAAGTTGCCCAACATTAAAGATTTCCCTGTAAACGTGCTTCATATTTCCCAGAAATGTGTTTATGAATGTGATTCGGAGAGTTTTATTCTCTTATACAGAGTGGAAGGAAAATTCTCTTCATTTTTTGTAACATGTCTGTTTACTTTAACTCAAAAGCTGGATGGAAACACGGCTGGTGTTGACCGACGTTCCACTCAAGTTCTGTGAGCTACTTTTTAAGCCCATTCTGCTCATATTGACATCCAAAATGCTAAGAAGTAAACCTCATTTGAACACGCACCAAGCTGATATGGATAAGCAGTACACTTTCAGAGTGCGCAGTACACTATACATTTTCAACCTAGTCTTCAAAATTTGAGGTAAAACAATATCATAATAGTTAATAGCTACATTCTCTCAGCTATGAGGGGATATTTCACCTACAGATGGAATAATGCTCTTCGCCCAGAGCAGCACTGTATCTGAGCCTAGACCAACTGACTGTGTAGTGAACAGCCCATTTACGGTTATCATTGTCAATATACAACCATATCAAAACACCCCTTTTCCCACTGTTTCTTTTTACACCATTTTCCTTCATTTAAAACAACTATGTATGTATACATATATATATATATATATATATATATATATATATATATATATATATTTTGATATTTCAAATGACTAGGCAGGAAATAGTTCTTCCTTCTGTTTACCCTCCCTCTTCCTGTCTGCCTGGAAACACCTCTCAGTTAAGATCTTTAAAGCTGCGCCTGTCTTTTTTCCGGGTTCTGGTGAGATTGGATGTGAAAGGGAATGCATGTTTGCTGAGGGCAGTGTGTGCTTCAGCAGTGAAGTAAGAGGAGATGCACTGCTGGATCATGTTTTCTTGTCTCCATGACAATAAATGCCATCAGTGTGTGGTTGTTGCACAAATGCATGTGTGTGTGTGTGTGTGTGTGTGAGTGTGTGTGAGCTAACAGCGCTGTGTTGTCATTCCAGACTTCACTTCAGATGAGGAGGAGGAGGATGACTGTAACAGTGAGTTTGCTGACAGCACTGAGGAAGACGAGAACTGCAGACTAACAGCTCAGTCTTTGGCTGTTATGCAGGTAAGACGCACACATTCATCATTTCATCTGATCCTTTTAAAGCTAAACTCCTCTCTGAACTTCTTTTACAATTATGGGTCCAGGATTATCACCGGTTTATCGTTTTGTTTAAATATGATTGCACAATTACATGATTAATGACAGTTACTTAATGAATTAAATTCATTGTCAGTGTGAACAGGTCTGAGGGTGCAGTTCGCCTTTTTTGGTTTGTTTCTGTGTCACATGTCAAAGCTCACATCATAATACAGCACCTCTTTTCTCTGCTTCTTTCATTATGCAGGAAGTGAGGCTGTAATGCCATAAAAAATAGGCTAAAATCTTTTTTCTTTGCACACGTGAAAAGAGAATTAGACTTACTTTTCAAAATTTCTGCACAGCTATTTCAGGTGTAAACAGAGTCATTCAGAGTAGTTTGATGTGAAATGGTTCATTGTAGAGAAACGTACAGACTCAGATTTCTTTAAAGTGTCTAAAACACAAATAAACCCATTTTATTTACTATTTAAAAACCTCCAGGAAACCTACACAAGTCCTCTGAGTTTTATATGTAATGTTAGTGATGGTAAAATAGTGGTAAATCTGAAAACATACGTTTTCTTTGGGGACTGATTTGCCTTTCGACACCCAGCATTTACCTCAAATACATTTTAGAAAATTAGGTTATTGCAAAAGTATTATAAAGCAATGTCTGAAGTATCAGGCAGAGTATTCAGAACTATTTTGTGTAGTACGTTTTTGTGCAGGAGCTCTTAGAAGCATTAAACTCTGCAGACTTCTCGTTCCTGTCACCACCACTGTGGACAGTTCTGACTTGGTAAATTTCTCTTGAGCAAAGCATTTCACATCAAACCAGTATGAAGGGCTTTGTTGAAATCTTAATTATGTAATTATGCACAAATTTTGAGAGATCAATATAGTTTTCCACACTAAACATACCACATCCCACACATCCACACTGAATATTCATGTAGTTGTTTTCTTTTGCACTTTGTCTTGTTTGTACACTGATGTATGTACACTGTAAATATGTTCTGACTTCTTTTAGTGTTTCCCTTTTGGGGCCAAAAAAGTACTGTCTGTCTGTCTGTCTGTCTGTCAATCTGTCTTTCTGTTTGCTTGCTTTCTGTCTTTCTACTTACCTGTCTGTCAGCCTGCTCATCCGTCCATCTGCAGTGATATGCAAACGTTGAACACCTGTGATCAAATGACATGTTTGACATGTATTTTTTGATTTTCGGAGTGATTTTCTGAATTTTCTGAAAAAATAAGTTACTCCATATAGAACACGCTTAAATATGCAACTTTTCGGCTAACTTTAAAGTACAATTTCTGTTTTACATACTGAAAAAAAACATACAAGATAAAATGTGCAAATGTTTTATTTTTTCCAGTATGTTAAATTCAGCGAATAATTGAATTAAAATGTGCAGAAGTGTGTTCTGTATAGAGGGCTTTTTAAGTTATTTTCACAGAAAATCAGCAAAATGTCATTTGACCTGGGGCACCCCAACTTTTGGTACGACTGTATGTATTGGCACTGACATAACAAAACTTTATGTCTCCAAAATGCAAACTTTTCAAAAACATTCCTTTAATTTAATTTAATTTTAAGATTCCTTATATTTTGGAGCATTTCTATTTGTCCATTAGTCAAGACGCATTAACCAAACGATTCTCTTCTCTCCTCACTGCTTAGGCCTATGAGCACCATGGAGGACCTGCGGCCAGGCCGCTATCCCAGGATACTGCCGTGATGGAGGGTCAGGGTCTGGCGGAAGTGAAGCTACTGGTGGAGCAGAAGAGGGCGGTGGAGCGAGAGCTGTGGGAGCTTAAGGCTCAGCTGGAGAAAGCTGGTTTCTCCTCTTTCTCTCAGATGAGGTATTTAAGCTATTTAGGAGATTTGTTATTAAGCTTCTACACAACTTTTAAAATCTTATTGATATGCTGACTATCCACTGGAAACAAAAGGCAACTGAAAATTTGGGGGTTGCTCACTAAATGATGAGTGAGGATTACACATTACCCAAATTATGACTTAGCACTGAACTGAACTGAACACACATGGTAACAGGGGACTTGGAGCAAATGAAATGTGGAGGTAAACCGTCTCTCAGTTTACATTTGCTGTCAAAGAGATCCAGTAAGATTTGAATTTGAGTTACCGAGCAGCATGCATGACAGGATGACATCTGATTTTCAGTCAAACGTTAAAATTAGATTGGGAGGCAACACAGATATCCACAGTTTCATTATGGTGCCAGTTGACTTCCTCAAAGTCTGCACACAGACCATCATTGCGAATTATGACAGTGATTGGGTTACAATTCATGTGATCAGTTGGCTGAAGGCTAAAGATGCAATTGTCTTGATGTGATCTCCTGTTGTAGGAAAGCACTGTTCAGCCTGCGCTCTGAGAATGAGGAGCTCAGGAGCTTGGTGAGAGAGAGAGGCTCTGAGGAAAGTGGACGTGGAGCCTCAGAGGAGGGTAAGAGAGAGCTTGAGGAGAAACCTGGTGAAGAACCTTCAGATCCCACAAGAAAACCTTGCACACCTCGTGCTCAAGTCCGTAAGGGTGATAAAAAACCCTCCAGACCACTCTCTCTGGACCTGCAATCACTGCTCTCCCACTCTTTACAGGTAGGGGGCGCTTGCAGGAGAGGAAATACCAGTTTTCCAAGCTTATACCTTATTATCAAAACAAATCATATCTCTAAAACAGAACTTTCCAGGAGAAGGAGAGAATACAATGCATGTTAATATAATGAGATTGTGTTCCAAATAATTTCTTTTAGCCCATGAAATTATCACACCAGAGGGGGGTCTTGCTTTGTAATACCTAACAATCTTATGAAAAAAAAAAAATAGACATTTTTTGGATTGAATGCAGAAAAATATTAAAGGTTGTAAATTATTACAGTTGTTATGTTATATTATTTCTGTTAAGGAGAGCTGCATGTCTGCAGGTATAAACACTGGAAAAAAATTGAAATTGTTCATCCAATAATATAACAAATGCAGTAATTCAGAGTCATTTTTCTTTTGATATTTAAGTACATTTAAAAGCAAATAAGTCTGTACTTTAACCCAAGTAGAAAAATAAATAGAATGCTTCTTCATTTACTTTGGGATTTTTGTAATTTTTCTACCACTGGCTCTAACTTTGTAAGAAGATCAAAGAAAAACAGGGCTAACTTTTACAACTTTTTATAAAAGCTACGTTTCATATGTGTAAAACTGAGAGGGTGAAAACATTTCTTTTTGCTTTTTAGGGTTAAATGTGTGGTTAGGTTTAGGATGAAGCTTTTACATAAGATAATTACATAACACATTACCCCACAACCACACAATAAAACAACCTGTGTGTTCATGTGTGTGAGCAGGTAGAGAGTGTATCTAGAGAAGTCCCACTGAGTCCAGTGGAAGCTGGACTGAGGGAGTGTACGGTGCGTCTGAAGTCGGACCTGGAGCAGGTGCAGCAGGAGAGCCGTGAGCTGCAGGAGAGACTGATGGTGTCGGAGGCCACAGTGCAGGCCCAGGCTGAGCAGCTTAAAGACTACAGAGAACTGCTCAGTAAGTGTTCTCATACTTCCCTACTTGCCATACTAAATTCATGTGGAGGATGACCATATAAAACAGTAGCACTGGAATTAAATGACCATTCACACTCTAGTGTTCAGTCCATTAGTGTAGTAGTAGTGGGTGGGACAGCAGTATAAACTGGTCATACTGGTTCATCTGGTATACTGGTTGAAATTCTCTGGTATGGGTTTTGTCATTACCGTTATACTCAAATGTCACAAATCCTAAGCCTCACCCTAATGTAGACACCAGTAAAGCTGAAGTTTCCTTGTTATTCAGTTTTCTGTTTCCATCCAAAATGATGCACCATTACATTCAGGCACCTGTACGGACAAACAAGAAGCTGGTGAATAAGAAGCTTTGTAGAAATTCCAATGTGAAACATGTAGCACTATTTTTGCCAGGCCCACAGTGTGTAGAAAAACGCAACATGTCAAAACGAAAGAAGCGTGAAGCAAGAACACCAATCAGGGTACAGCACGCACTTAGTTTTGAGCTTGTTTTGACCTGTTGATCATACCAACCCAGTGCAAGCATACGGTTCAACGCCAGTGCAGCATTGTAAAATTTTGGGAGAGTCTATTCAACATAAATGATGGACTAACCTAACTTTGTGTAAATAGACCACAATATAGAAATATGTACACATATGCAGTTGTGACTGTCGTGTCTTTTTTCTGAATTTATATAAACACTATTTCATTTTATAGTAAATTTGTTTTTGCTAGTTTATGTTTATGAACAGAGACCTGCAAATTCAATATAGTAAAGGAAACTCATTTGTGAATCTGAGTTTAAAATTTTTATTAAACTTAAACTTGTAACTAAATTGCAAATAAATCTTAGACCAAGAGTGACACTAAAGTATTTTCACCTAAAATGAGTTAATGAAGCAGAGTCTTGTTACAAAAATGATAATAGGACATTAGAGTCATAATTAGTCTTTTAGTACTTTCGCTTTTGATACTTAAGTACATTTGAAGGCAAATACATTTGTACTTTTACTCAAGTGGAGGTCTGAAGGGAGGAACTTCTACTTTTACTGGAGTAATATTTTACCTTGGGTATCTCTACTTTAACTCAAGTACATGATTTGTGTACTTCGTCCACCACTTATTAAAAGTGTAGGGATATCCCAGAATATCAATCCCTTAGTAACCTACAAAAATAGGCTTGCTTAATCAAAAATTAAATGGTTTTATTTATTTTTATTTTACAGCACACCCGTGATATATACCAGAACTATCAGAAATCTTTGGCTGTACCACCCACTACTAGTCTGTAGTGTGTATTTTGAAGTGCATGGTGAAATATGTGCTTTACTTTCCTCAGCGGAGACGTCGGTGCAGCAGGACAGTAAGCAGGTACAGGTGGACCTGCAGGATCTGGGCTACGAGACATGCGGCCGCAGTGAGAATGAGGCAGAGAGAGACGACACCAGTAGCCCAGGTTTCTATGCGACTGACACCACACTCACGCCACATTTCTTCCAAATATGCTAACGGTTTGGTTACACTTTACTTGAAGGGTGTCTACATAACACATTCATAACATCTTACATAAACACTTAATAACATGTTCATGAATGTTTAAATCAACATTCATAAAGCATACATTTAAAATAATTTGGAGAGACATTTTTTAAAATAAAAGTCGTCTTTTTATCTTGAAAAACTGTATTATTTTCAGTGAATGGCTTATTTCTGGACAGCTGAAATAAAAATGACCTTTTATTCCTTTATTCATTGAGTGCTTTGACACTTTGGCACATTTTGCCTATACTTTCAACTTCTTTTTCATTATTAGTTTCTTTTTAAGCATTTGCATTTTGCACCTTAGTATTCTTTTTCCTTTTTACTTTGTCATCCTAAGTTTTACCCTCTTCGGGTTAAATGCTAGCACTGTAAGTGACAGTTTAATTGTGCATTGGTTGTCTTATTTAAGTGACACTCTTTGAAGTTAAATGTTGCACTATTATCTCAAAGATTGATAAATTCAATGCCCTTACCTTAAAAGTGGTGGAAGCTAAAAAGATTAAAATGCATGTTATGTGGATCTTTAAATTGCAATGCAAAGTACTACTACATTCATGTGGCTGTCCAGCATCTACAGGGAATGAATGAGTATTACTGTCTTATAAAATTCCTTCATGCAATGAGTCCCACCACCACACTAAGTCGAATTCATATTTGTGAATTCATATTTGTGAGTAATTTGCTGTCAAAATGCTTAAAAAAACAAATAATTAAAATGAAGTCAAGCATATACACAAAATGTGCCTCAGTGTCAAATCACTTAATGACCAAAGGGTAAAGTGAGGTCAGTTTATGTTGCCTCAGAAATTAGGCATTTTACTTAAAATAATATACTTTTTTAAAATAAAAAATAAGGACTTTTATTTTGAAAAAAAATCTGGAAATAACTGTTTAAGGGTGTTGCCAGGATGGCCACTGAGTGAACAGACTTTCCTTTAAGGATGTTGGCATCATGTGAACATTTTTGTGGTGTTTATTGTAGAAGATGAATTGTCATGGATGTGTGTCGCCATTAGGAGGCAGCAAAAACTCAATCGTTTTCCTAGAAAATACCACCAAAAACATCATGTCATACTTGTGAAAGGATGACATAAAATTAGTCTGTCTTTTGTTTATGTATCATCTTTCTGAAGCAACATACAAGTTCATGACACCAGTCACTCCTCCATCTGCAGAATTTGACGATCTGGAGCTGTGCACCTCTCTCTCCTACCGGGACGGTGCCTCCCAATGGTGGTCCGGAGCGGCTTCTGCGGGCCGAGCAGAAGGCGATGTGGCGTTTCTTCAGCAGCTGGTGGAGGATCTTCGGGGGCAGCTGTCCCGCTCGCAGGCACTGGTACGCAGCCTACAGACTCGCGTCGGGGACACCGCACCCACATCAACGCCCCGAAAAGTCAACTGGGGTTTGGAGAGCGGGGCTGAGGAGGACGAGGGCTGGCAGTCATCAGACGGCTGCGGCTCACTGCCCCGCCGTCCCCGCCCTGACACGGAGCTGCAGGAGCTGGTGGCCCGCGTGTCTTCTCTGGAGGAGCAGCTGAGGAAAGGCAAAGGGAACACAGAGGAAACCAAAAGCAGTACCTGGCCTGGGTGAGTAGCAGATGCTTACAGACTATAGTTTACAGGGAGAAACAGGTGGGGAATTTTGCTAGGTGTATTTGTGCATCAGCATTGCTGGTCACAGACATTCTGAATTTGAAAGTCTTTATACACTCAACGGTCACTGATGTGCAGTCAGAAGCTCAGAACAGCCTTATTACTGGGCTCTAAAAAAATTCACATTCCAGTATGTTCAGCAATGATGGTGAAGCAATTAGAGGTTCTTCAGATTACTGAATGTGACCTTGATTGATGTATTTAAGCTTTAAGAACTCTATGAACTCTATGAAAGTGATCAAAGATGGCAAAAAACTTCTTGTCCGCTTCTTTCAGCTTTACAGCAAACAGGTGACAGGGTCATCACTATTATTTTCACAGAAAATTAGTATAATAAAAATAGCTCTTTATAGCCACATAGACTAGTTTGATTTATATTATTTTAAATTATATTTTTAAAAATATATATATTTTATATTATTATTTTAAAAATACTAGCTTATATTGTATTCTTAAAAATTTCAACTTTTTCCAGCATTAAAGGGTCCATATCTTGTAAAAATTTTCCTTACTTTTTGGAAGAAATTCTTTGATGTATTATGCAAACTTTGTTAAAGCTCCATCAAATAGTTCATACAGTCCATACAAGGAAACTATGCTGTTCTGAATTCATGAATTATTGTTCATTTTGGTACATGAAACTGCACGTCATTAGCGGATCTCAGGTGAATAAAATAAAAATGTAGGACATGCGCCCGTTAATATCTCCTCTCTCTGTATTGCAGTAAGTTTGACGCGCTGATCCAGGCTCAGGCACGGGAGCTGTCTCACCTGCGGCAGCGGATGCGAGAGGGCCGAGGGGTGTGCCACATTCTGACCCAGCACCTGGGGGACACCACTAAGACCTTCGAAGAGCTTCTGCGGGCCAACGACATCGACTACTACATGGGCCAGAGCTTTAGAGAACAACTCGCTCAGAGCTCCTCACTGGCTCAGAGAGTGGCAGCCAAGATCAGCAGCCGTGAGTGCACACACACACACACACACACACACGCATACATATACTCACAAACCAACACGTCATTAATCCCTGTGGTTTTAGTTTCACAACAAGTAAACACACAAATAATAATATGTTACACATCAGTTGCATTTTGTCATTACTCTGAATAAACAAAACAATAATAAGCACTTACTGATCAGAATTGCGCTCTGAATGAGCTGCTGTGCCCTAATTCCTGCTTCCTGGAGCTGAGGTCTGGGTATGGGAATAGAGCTGTGACTGGGCCTCAAGGCTCTGGTCTACAGATAAAATATTGGGATAGTGGGTTTAGAGCTGTAGTCGGAGCTGTGACTGGATCTGCGCTTGTGCTATGTCATGCACTCACACTGAAAAAATCATAGAGCATGAAGGAAGCATCTTTATACAGTGATAGAAAACATCAGCGGAAATCCCACCATTAACGGTTTGGTATTGTCTGGGTATGGAAATATTGCATTAAGTTGCATAAATTTAAAGGTTATTCATTTATGATGGGGTTTCATTCAGTAAAAGAAAGAAAGTGCATTACATACACTTTTGTTGGAGAGTTCAACATCATGAAACTTTTTTTATTTATAAGTTATATTTTTTTATAGAAGGAAGTTATACTGTTAATCGTAAGTGTCTCGTTCGGTATCTATGTTATTTAAACTTTTGTGAGAGTTTGAAATCTTGAGAACTGACAATCACATCAGTCAGGAAAGTACAGTTTATCTGTTGGAGTTTACATGCAGTCAGAATTTAGGCATATTTAAAGATTTCAGGAGCTCTTTCATAATGAAGAATATTTCTGTATTTTTAACACAGGAGATCACTCTGAACTCCCAGAAGACAAGACAGGTCATGAGCTGCTTGCAATCCGGTGAGTCCTTCGTCTACACGCGTGCTCACATACACATTCACAGATTCACACAAACAGACGTATTAACACTTTTTCCCCTCACATTTTCCATGTTAAAAGACAGTAGATGTTGAATACCAAAGTATTTTATTGCACCCGTCCTATTATTGTATTGTGATTTGGCCCACCAGAAAGTTACCTTAACCACCCCACCCCGTCAGCAAATTAGCAAACAAGCATATTTTAAATGTATTATTAAATCATGCACTTATATTATCATAAACTAGGTACTCTTTAAATCGTTATTTTCATTTGAAAATTGTGTTTTTAAATATTTAATAACACATTACAGTATAATGCTGGTACGAGTGGATCAGACACAGCAGTGCTGCTGGAGTTTTTAAACACTGTGTCCACTCACTGTCCACTCTATTAGACACTCCTACCTTGTCAGTCCACCTTGTAGATGTAAAGTCAGAGACGATAGCTCATCTGCTGCTGTACAGGTTGTGTTGGTCATCCTCTAGTCCTTCATCAGTGGTCACAGGACGCTGCCCACAGTTCGCTGTTGGCTGGATATTTTTGGTTGATGGACTATTCTCAGTCCAGCAGTGACACTGAGGTTTTTAAAAACTCCAGCAGCACTGCTGTGTCTGATCCACTCAGACCAACACAGCACACACTAACACACCACCACCAGGGGTCCTGGCCACTAAAGAAAAAGGTAAAAGGGGGCAAACAAAGTATGCAGAGAAACAGATGGACTACAGTCTGTAACTGTAGAACTACAAAGTGCACCTATATAGTAAGTGGAGCTGACAAGGAGGTGGTCATAATGTTATGCCTGATCGGTGTGTATATGTCACATCGGCTGACCTCTTGCTGCCTATAAACAGTACAGTACAGTACAGACTCCAACATGATCAAACATTACTGTATGTAGATTTGTACTGCAGCATCTCTCTCAGCTACCTCTCTCTTATCTCAGTGGTGTCTCAGCTGTTTTTGGGTACAGTGACAGACTGCCCTGCATATTCAGCACTGCTTTGCTCATGCTTACGTAATTGCTGGTTATGACAGAGCGCTGACACTCAATGGAAAGATCACAGAGCCAGACACATACACATTGACTCATCTGGCCATCCAGGCTGGGGCAATCAGTTTCTCGATCTATGCTTACTGTGCATTGCCATGCAGTGTGGGGGATTACATATCAGATCAATAAGAGTGATTAACTCATGCTGAGGCTCAGTCTGGTCAATTGGAGTTCTGATAGAAATGGACTGTAGATTGGCAGCTGACCCTTTTCGCTTGTACAGGAATCAGCTGCACTTTGTTATATGTCAATCTTTAACCCCAAAATAAGAATGTTTATTTTTACTGGGCTGTGTAATATATTAAAGAACAATTCCAAAGATTTTTACCTTCCACTAGTTGAACCAGTTTTTTTAAATTGCCTGTATAGTTCAGTAGTTAAGATGTAAATAAAGTCATTCATAGTGGTTTGATATTAAGGGGCTCATTGTGGAGAAATGTATTGACTTAGATTTCTTTACAGTGATGGCGTTAGGAGCCAGGGGTCATAATGTTTACCGTGCACATGTAACCATTGTATTTATTTTGCCAAAACAACCAGCAAACCTGCATGAGTCTTCTGAGTTTTTATATGGAATGTTGAAAATGGTAAACAGTGGTAAATCTGGAAAACAAAAAGATTTCTTTGGGTGTTATTTTGCCTTGTAAAATACATTTTAGATGAAAATCTTATCTCACAACTATTGTAAAACATTGTCTGAGGCGTCAGGCAGAGTCTTCATGACCATTTCATATACCAACTTACTGTGATGTAGCTTTTAGAGGCAATAGATGTTTGGATGTTTGGTTCCTATCACCACTGCTGTGAACAATTCTGACTTGGTAAGTTTGTCTAGAATGGAGCCTCTCACACCAAACCTCCCTGAATGGCTTTGTTTACATCTTAATCGTTTACCTATGTAGAAATTTACAACTAAATTGTAATTAGACTTCCCCTATCACTGTTAGTTGTTTTTTGTAGCATACTGTCAATTACAATAAACAGTAATTTTGATGTATTCAGTAATTTCAGTGTTCCACTCACTTGTAATAGGGCAGCTGCTATAATCAATGTGTAACTAGGTAGGAGCCTGTTAAAACTCCATTCATGCCACTATGCTTACATATTACCACAAATGCTCTCTTTTGCAAAACCATCTGTGAAAGAGCAAATCACAGTGATTTACAATTTAAATACCTTTACAAATACCTTTAACTGAAGAAGTCATGTTCTACAGCAATATGTGCCATGCATGAACATTTACTGCTGGTATTCAGTTAGTCTCCAATGGCTTCTATTGTGAGTGAGTTTTCAGTACACTGAATTATTGAACATGGCAATAAACTGTACGCTAAAGATGTTGCAGATATCGAGAAAAAATGCATTTAAGCTTAAGATGTATATATTTTCATAATTAATTACCTGCATCTGAGATGGGACTCGAGTTAAGTGTTGACTGACTTGCGACTGAAGACTCAAGACTTCTTGTAAAACTAAAATTTTGGGTTTTCAGCCTTACATGTGTGACTTTGTCAGATTTGCTGAAATGCTGTTTTCTTGCACCTCGCAGCGGCATCAGCTTTGATACAGCTTCAAATAACGAACATTATAGAAAGACCTCCAGTCTGATGGGTAGAACTGAAGCGCTGCACAGAGTAAATGCAGTGTTTGGCAAAACAACTTGAAATTATAATTACAGATCACATTTCTTTTTAAAACTTCAGATGGATTAGCTAATGCAGATAAACTGCAGACTAGCCAACAGTTTCAAGTTGTTTTGCCTCTTTCCTTTAAATACCATTTGCTGTGTGTAGTGCTTCAATTCTGTCCTTCAGACTGAATGAAGAGCTTGTTATTTGGAACTGGCAGGTTTTTAGTTGTGGGTTTACTTTTGAACAATGCAGTGCCTGCAGCTATAATGAAACTGAACTAAAATAATCTACGTAAGACACGAGACTCGAATCTAACTCCAAAGACTCTAAACTCAATGCAACTTGCACACCAGAGACCCCAGACTCAATTCGACTTGCACTCCAAAGACTCCAGACTTGACTCAGACTCGCTCTCCTGGGAGTCCATACTCGACTCGCACTTGGAAGACCTGCACGTTGGTCACTTTATTGGGTATTTTTGTTCTTCTCTCAGTGTTTGTTCCTCTCTCTCCTCTTTCATACATTCTTCATCCCTCTACTCTTTTCATGCAAGCATTTATGTAGACATTTGCTTTTGCCTGTGGGCTTTGTTGAGCAATGCTAGCTAATTCTGATCTGAAATAGGCCTTTTCTATAATGTCACCACTGGTTCCAGGGCTCTACCAGAGCCATGTGGTACAAATAAGCCATTTTATTGGCTAGATCATTCCTCCTGACCCCTCCCACCTTCTGTAGTTGCCTTGACAGCAGTCTGCAAGCCCCTTAGGGAGATGACCCTTATTTTCCCCCATCATGCATCTGTGTGCAGCTTTAAATGGGTGAAAGCACAGAGGTGCACAGGCAGTGAGCTGTGAAGACTGGCAGTGGTTATTTGTGTGTTCATTCAGAACAAGGCAGCCTGTGTGTCTGAGAGTGTGTTTACATGTGGCAGAGATGTTGAGAGAGGTCAAAAAGTGATATTCATTCAATAGGATGAATGAAAGACAGTTGTGTTTTGAATCGGGGCTATTGCTGCTTCTCCTGCACTGGTCAGTATAGGGTTTTTGTCCAACATGATGTGAACTGACCCAATGATGAAGGAGATCCTGTTAGCGCTTTTTGACCTTAGGACTGTCCCTGACTATTGATTATCTTTGTTGACCAAAAGGTCTTATTTTGAGCTAAAACTCGACGAATCACTTGAATCATTTGAATCTCGATATAAATTGGCCATTATGTTATTAAGTTTTAGTATCAGAAGGAAGCAGGAAACATTACACAAAACCTCCAACACTTAATGTAATGGAGTTTAAAAAATGATTAAAAAATGTAGAGACCGCTGTGCAAAACCTGGACGTCTGATTTAGATTAATGTTTTATGGACTGATGAGTCTATGGCCAAGTCCCATTTCTTCTTTTTACCCCTACCCCTTGTTTTCAAGTGTCACCCTAATCCCTTGGAACTGAGTTACAAGGGCTAATGGTTGAAATCTTACCCTACAAAATGGGACAACCCTCAAATGAAAAAAAAAACAAAAATCACTGCTTCATTAACAGCTACTAGTGCTGCTCTGTAGGCGACCCGGCCCGTCTTCAGTGACAGCAGAGAAGGGAAAAGTTCAGCTCCTCACTGCTGGGCTTTAGTTACATTTAGGGCATCATATGCTTTCAAAGAGGGGCTATAAGACAATTATTTATTATCGCCCACCGCTAATTCTTCAGTGATACGAAGCTGAAGTCAGATATTCACCAGCTTCATGTTCGAATTTTCCTGTCCCACCTTAAATGGTGCAGCAGTTACATTCTGGCGTTTCAGGCGTCAGAACTGCTGGACTATTTAAGGTGGAACGGGAAAGTTAGCTAGCTAGCTAAAGAGACATTAGCATGCTATTAGCAATTTCTTATGCTTGTTATGAAGAAAACGACCATAATACACTGAAACGACACTAAACTAAGTTAATACAGTGGTTATCGTAATTTTTTAACAGAGAAAATTCTCACATTTGTGGGTTTCTTTGGTCGCTCGTGCAGCCATCTTGCTGGTTTTTCTTTTTTTCTCATAACACTCTGTTTGGAGTCTCTGACAAACCTCCGTTTGGAGGAACATGTAGCCCTAACACTTCGCCCCACCCCCCACACCGCTAAGGGCTAAGTGGTAGGGGTGGGGGGGGAAATGGGATTGGGCCTAAAATTGTAATAGGAATTATTTGGATCAAGAGAACCAGAAAGTACATCTAAGGCTGAACTTTGGAGGTATGAGAAATATTACTGATATATCATTGATATTATATTTATTATATTTATGTTTTCTCCCT